GAACTGAAAGTACCGTCGTTCGTTTTTATTAGCAGTAGACAATTCACGTCGCCTTTTGTCCCTTCGAATTGGTTTCCAACTTGATTTTCTATCATGTTCTAGAGTGTTTCGAATACGGAATGTCTAAGGTGGGTTTGCGCATGTTCAATACCTCCAGATTGGACCATTTTAGCCTATTCTTTACTCGTGTTATCGGAGCTCTGCCTCTTATCGAGTCCGTATCGGTGAGTTGCTTCCAACGAACTCAGTCATCCTTGGTAACTCATTATTATGCTATGCAGCTGTCCACTCATCGGAAGCTTAGGGGTGATAATACCATCGTCGTGCATTTTTGTTAAGAGTTTACGCGTCGTCCGTACGAGGTGCCGGCGTTTAGTAAGGCCCGTGCTGTCTTCAAGATCTGCAAACTAGCTGAGGATTCCAAATAGAATGGCCGGAGGGTATGTATTGAATGCTCTATTTAACAGTCCAACAAGATGGGGAAGTCGTTGACTTCCTAAGTGACTGTACACAATTGTTGACCTGATTCAGGGGGGTTGGTTGCAACTTGTATGCAACTCGTCAATAGCAAAGCTGACTTCAAAGACCCAAATTACTGGAGAAATTTGGGCGTCAACAAATCTGCTCGTACAGAAACAGCTCATGCTGTACTCATCTACGTCAAATTCTTTCATTCCTATATTTGGCTGCAGGTACAATTTGCCTTTAGGGTACCATCGTAACCGTGGTCACTTTCATTTTTGAGTGAAGGAATATTTCCAAATGTGATGTCATTACACAGCACTGTTACAACTCTGAAAGTCACTGCTTTTTATTTCTGCTTTACAGCTCTCGCTTTGAAAGGAATCGATTATGAGTACCGGCCAATTAACATGCTTACTGAACCAGGTGAACAGGTAATTCTTCCAGTGAAGGTGTCATCGTTACTGTAAGATTCATGTGAATGATTGATCGTTTCTTAACGCGATTAAGTAGTCAGATGCCTCAATATTTTCTCTTGAAATGAGGTCACTTGCAGGCCGACATAACAGGGAGGCCCATTACAGTTAATATTCAGCGATCTACGAACAATGTCAATTATTAATTATACATAGTTTGGATTGGATTTAAACTCGCAAAATTTAACATATCCAAGCTGTTTTATGATTCATTTGCTTCGTACCAACAACTGTTATTCTCTTAATCAAATGGGACCACCCGTAGCAGTCGCGCTTTAAGGTGAATCCGAGTTAGCGGTCATTACACGGACACAGGTACCACACTCTCAGGTCCAACTAAATTTGCATCAACGTGTTATGGATGCACCATACAGTGAATTTTGGACTGTAATTGAGTATTTTGTGTGTCAGTGATAACAATGTCTGTCCCTCATTCTGCTGTGAGCGATAAACTAGCCACAGGGCGGCAGTTGGCGTCCTCCAGTGTGGACGGCTGGTCTTCGGTCTTTCGGTTCACTACCCCTGGGTCCCATACCGAGGGCTGACTTATTGTCTGAACAGCTGACACCATTCGGCATATTCGGGTGAAATACTTCACGGGTTCCGTAACAGTTCCTTTAACCATTTTGAACGCAAAACCTAGTCAATGGTGAAGATACCTACCGAAGTCAATGCGTTCTACAGTAAACCTGGGGCATTGCTTGTAATGTCCAGTTTCTTTCGCTTATCTTGGTCATTTCCTTCGATTCGTAATCCTCTCTATTCAAAGGCAGCACTTCTATCTACTACCTAACCAAAAGGTCGTAAGCTGTATTACTTTACATATTCGGGGTATCCGGTTCCTCATGAACTGTTTACGGGTAGCAACCTTGGGCTTACCTATCGGTTATTTATACTGCATGCAACATGTTCCACACTAGAGGTTTTCCAGTCAATGATTCCTCCTCGTACCACTGATGGACAAGCTGGTGTCACGCCTACGCCACGGGTGACACAGGTTCACAAAAGGTGCTCTGACCTTCCCATTCAGGATGGACATCTCTCGCAAGACCACCGAGACTGATACAGCATCCCAGGTAGAACAACTTATCTACTACCTCAATCGGCGCATCCGCAAGCATGAGGCTAGGGTTCGAGCCCACCCAGTCTTGCAGTAGCACTTTACACTTTGCAGATGTGGAGCGCATGCCAAACCACGAGGCGGAATTATTTAGGTTATTCAATATTGTTTACGTTATCATGGCGTCAGTTTTAAGAACAACTGTTGTCTGTGAGCGAATGCCCCGGGAGCACTTCGACCCCACAGGCGTTAGAGGCTGATAGTGAGTCTTTCATAATCGTTCCAATGACGAAGTTGAAGAGGGAAGGTGAAATAGGACAGCGCCCCCTGACACCACTTGATATAGTGAAATCAGACCAGAGCTTACCTTAGACCTTCACACATCCGCGGGAGTCGGCGTGCAGTGCCTTAATGAGGGTCAAGAATTAATGGGGGTAACCTTTGCTCCACAGACATTGCAGTAGTGCCTGATGGTCTACAGAGTCAAACGTAGCTTTCAAGCTTAGAAAACAACAGTGTGGCTGTTCCAGAATCTGTCGGAGGGTGAATTGTGATCGATGCATCCTCTTGCAGGACGGAAGCCAGCTTGACTTTCGTGGATCTGCCTCTCCTCGTGTTCACTCAGACCAGAGAGCATCTTTGGTGTCACAGCTACTAGGCTGATACCATGTTGGTTTTCACTCAAGGTCCACATACCCTTTTTGAAGATGGGAATAATTGTAGACGTGTCCCAATCTGCTGGCACTTTTTTCTTATTTCCATATCGCACCAATAAACTTTATTAGATGTATCACCAGGAATCCTCCGCCTGCTTTGAAGGAACCTGGATACAGACCATCTGACCCTGATGCCTTCACACGTTTCAGTACGGATATTTCGTACTCTATTTCTTCTTCGGACGGGTGATTAAGGTCCATACCGACTGGGTTGCAGGAGGCCGGTTATTTCCCGTAGCAAAAGCATTCTCCATCTCCCGAGCTTTCGATGTCCACCAGAGCCCTCGGTCTTTCCTTAGACTCTTCACTATTTGGCGCCGTCGTACTCGTCATCTGCTGGTATGGGTTTCCTGGCATCAATCATGGGTAGCGATTTCAACGACATCCAGTGGTTGTGTGGTCGAATTGAAGTTGGACAGACAGCAGTGAATGCCGATAGCATAGTTCCTTCCACATTTTGTGATTCTTCATCCGCGTGCTCACAACCAGTACAGTATTGATTTACTGTGGAGAGTTGTCGGGTTAGCTCAAATCGTAATGTTGAGCTACGGTAGTCCTTTGAAGATGGCGGATTGGCATGTTTCTTACTGACTTTCCAGGATTTGGGGGAAGACGGATTGTAGGGCGTGTACGCACCATAGCGTGATCGGAATCAAGTTGTCCAAGAAGGAGGGGCACCATCATCGACAGCATGACATCAGTGTTCAGCTGCGCTGCCGTACAAATATGGTTTATTTAAAAACTTTATTTTGAAGAAGGGAATAAAGGTGGGCAGGGAAGTGACTTAGCGCCAGCTTACTGAAATGCCTACTCACTACACTCATTCAGGCAATCTGAATAGGAACTAAAAACAGGGACGCCGATAACATCGATTTCCATTCAGCGTCTCCAGTCAGGCGCCAGTGGAGATCACGCTGTCTTCATCCTGGAAGGCGAGTGACACCGACAGCACCCAAACGGTTCATAATCTCTTTCATACCCCTCTGCTAGGTCAGGGTTTGTTCACCATCCCGCTTCGACTATTCTGAATTTGGAACCGAAAGCAGCACTTTATGAGGCAAACGATGGTTCGGCATACGCAATGCATGTCTTATAATGAAAATCGTTCAGCTATAACACCTTTTCGGTGCCTAGCTGCCGTGCCACCTGAAGGAAGTATGAGGGCTGGGATACTGCCACGTTGCATAAGCCTAGACATAGGAAGTGGAGAGGCAGAGGTCGAGTGCGAACTGCGGAATTTCCGGTCAGTAACTTCGCGCTCTAACCAGGAAGTGGAGAGGCTGAGGTCGAGTTCGAACTGCGGAATTTCCGGTCAGTAAATTCGCGCTCTAACCACCGAACCATCTCGCCGCCGTACATGGCCTAACCAACGCAGCTCCTGGTGCTGGACACATTTTTCATTGAAAGTGCTCGTTGCTTAACCGGAAACTCGCTTTCTAATTGCTTCGTTACGGATTCTCCGACACCACCCCCAGGAGCTCTGATTCAGAGACAACGATTATTGAGGACCTGAAGACGCCTCAGCTCCGCTGCTCTAACAAGTCAAGTATCATAACCATACAACAAATCAGCCCTACCTTATCCTGATATACTCACCTCCCTGGAGATTCAGAGATGTATCGGTTTGACGCCATAGGTGTCTCAAAGTGTTGAATTTATTCGTCAGTGCTTCTCTCCTTTCTTGTTGGCATTCAAATCACCGAGAACTGACATGTGGAGCAAGCCTGATAACACTGCTTCAGCAGCACTTTCTGAGCTGTAGTCCCTAAACAAGTCAATGTGTTCCAGTTAAGCGATATGGTTGTTTTGAGGATCGACGACATCGAACGATGATTCAGTGATCTCCATGGTTGTGTCAGTCGCCTTCCTCTCCTGTCAAGGCTTCCGAGTTAGGTAGTGCCACCTTGTTTTAAACGTGCTAAGCATATATGATGATGCGGATATGTCCAGTATGCTCTCGTTCAGCAGTAACACCCTTTCGGTGCCTAACTGCCATGCCACCCGAAGGTTGCACGAGGGCTCGGATACTGTCAGGTTGCCCAAGCCTAGACAGGGGGAGTCGAGACGCGGAGGTCTGGTTCGAACCACGAACCTTCCGGTCAGTAAATTCGCGCTGTACCTACTTGGGCCATATCGCCCCCCCCCAATGTGCTCTTGTGAACTGGTAAACACATTTTCGCTTCGCATGCCAGATGTATGGAGTTCAACTCGATTGAGTAGGAGAGAAGCTCGAGTTGAGTGCTAGCTGTTTAGTGAGGCCAGAACAAAATGAGTGCATCGAGACGTAAAGAATGTTGTTCACAGATGTCCCTGTTGTTGCAACCTAACTGGGGTTACATATGGGCCTGCAAATATGTGTTCGAGATAGTTGTTCGTCTTGACCATATTTTCATTGTGATGGCGTTCCTAATGGTATTCTCACGCTCATCTCTTATTCAGTTTAGTGAAGAGTTTCGGAAGGTGAATCCCAAGTGTGAATTACCTGCGCTGCAAATTGATGGATTAACTCTGACACAATCTGTAAGTTTGCACCCATGATGCCCCTCATCTGAATTTGGTAAAGCACTTCCGTATATCGATACCTGGTTTAGGTCGCTAATCTTAAACGACAGAGCGGTCCCAAACGTCTGGTTTGTTTGGTATTACATTGGATCCCGGTTACAAAATACCTGGTTTTCGTGGTGAAAATTCAGTACCGCTATTTGTTCCCACTATTTACTGAAAATCTACTGAACCCAGTTGCCATCTATGGCGAAGATTCAGTACGGTTATTTGTTCTCACTATTCACTGAAAATCTACTGAACCCAGTTGCCATCTTTGGTGCGTTCGTTGCCGTCCATTTTGGACGACTTAAGGCGCCCATTAAATCCTTTTCATGATACAAGGTTTGTGAAGTAACTCACGAGGATCGACCCATATAGCAAATATCCATAAGCTCACCGATTTTCATTAGCGCTTTTCACTTTTTGCTTCATTACAATGGCAGGTTAACCGTTTTTGAGTAACGATAATCGGTTTGATAGTAAACGCGAAATTAATTATGAGACCACGACATTCTGCACACTATTCTCCCAGAACACTTCTGTGGGTGTCTTTTCTTCCAGGATATAAAATAAGCATCATTTGACACTGGAGTTTACGGAAGATTAGGTGGTCCGAAAACCTTTGGGCGGTACTCAAGTGACGGTAGGTGGTTACCAATAAGAAGGGTTCAACCACAGTGTCATTTCAGATGTGTTAAACATACGACTGCTCTCGGGACGGAAAGGTAAAAGAGACAACTCATTCACTAAGGTGCTGACCAGGAAGCTCATGGTTCGAGCCAATCTGTTGCGTTTCCTTCACTCCTATCATGGCTTACGCGAACTTGCAGTACATCATCTCTCCCGCGAAAGCTATGAGGCCTTATTCAGTCGAATGCTCAATGCAGTTTCGTGCAACTATCCAATGAACCAAATGGGACTTTTTGCTTTCCCAGCCCAAAGTAAATCATCGAAATGTCTCCTTCGATGAATCAACCACCAATAATTTTAATGTTTACTTATGACAACTGCTGACATTAATCTCCATGAGGGAAATGCGCATTCTCAACGGAGTTAGGCTGACGGAATCGCATCTCTCACATAAGTGTGAAGGGTCCTAGTTAAAACTTTGTTAGCTACCAAGTTTACCTTCACCGACAGCTCAACTGGTTGTCATGTCGGTGATTTTATGAATGGTACTGTCGTGTTAGATCAACTTGTTTGCCCGGACGTTTATAGATCTAGTCCCGCACAGAGTTCCCACGTGGTAGTCGCATACGTATGATTTCACGGCTAATTACCCAGTGGATGATAAGGCGGTGGCTCACTGATGCCGAATCAACAAGTTACTGGTGTAAGTCGCAAAGCTCTTCGCCTCGAAGTCGTTTATTAGCAAACACCAACTAAACGGTTACAAACTATTGGACAAGAGAGTAAACATCTCATATGCCTCTCGTTCTTAAAAACTGAAGATGCTCACGCATCTTCGTGAACTTTCGTGGATATTCATTGGCTATCACGTAAGTGTAAACGTACGCTTCAAAGCAGTTGCACAAGCTCCACCTTCCATTAAACGCGAGGCGGAGTTATCAGAAAACGACATACTAGCATGCCTAATTAGTAGTATCCGCCGGTACACCGGTTGTCTTTTTACATAAAGGGGCAACATTTGTCTTGATTGTTTTAGAACGACCCACAATCAGGATGGTCCTGTGCTCTCCTTGAAGTGTATTTTTAGTACCCCTTGTTATTGTATGTTTTCTGCTTTGCTCTTTTCCCTTTTGTCACACTTCCCCAAACAATCAGCTCTCACAAAACGATTTGGGGAAACAACGTACTGTTCATATCGCCTACTGAAAACTGTCAAACTGGTTTCCCTAGTTCCTGATTTCCAATGTTAGCGTCTTGTGCACCATGTGAAGTATACTAAGTTTGCTACTGATGAGCTGGTTTCCACCATCAGTCTCTTTCATTTTTTCCCGCCAAAACTAGCTTCCAATAATTGAATATTTGGAAGAGACACGAGCTCAGATTGGACGCCCATTGCTTCCAAAGGACCCGGCCAAACGAGCTGTTGTTAGGAAGTTGTCGGAAATCATCAATTCTGGGATCCAACCGCTGCAGAATCTTTCTGTTATGCGGTATCTACCACCAGATGTGTCCAGGGATCAGTGGGCCCAACATTGGATCAACAGAGGCTTCCAAGGTAAACATTACGATTTTGTAATTTTTTAAGTGACCTCTCCCCATTCACGAAAACCACCATTGTTTTCTACCACTGTAACCGACGGATTAGGGATACAGGGTTTCTTAAACACACCTCGGTTGACAGCATGCCATTGTTACCTACCTGATGAGTATTCGAATGTATCCACCGTACACATGGGTATGATGAGTCGAACTCTTTCTCCTCATCTTTTACACACTCGAGCGCTACAAAGCGTTACAAGCAAACTTGTTGACTGCTACTTTTAGGAGCAAGGTTTTGGGTCACCTTCAAACGGCCTGAGCCATTTCCCCTCTCAAACCCAATATCATATAATTCTGCCTCGCATTTTCTTCAGTCTGTGTAACTGGTTACGCTGTTTAGCGTTTCTTCTTACTGTCAAACTGTCGTCCGATTTAGACTCGCCTTATTGTTGTTTCTAGTGGTGTACCGGGATGGTTTATCCGGTTGTATGGCGTATTCGGGTCAGGTGTTTCTCTGTTCTGTAATGTTTGTTTGCCTGAGAAGCGTCGCAAGGCTAGAAAAAAATCCGTCTTCAGGAGGGTAATATACCGCATGGAGTTGTTCTTCAAACTATTTTCAAGCTCCTGATTTGTCTACCCTGGTTCTCCATCGCGTGGTGGGTCCGGAGGGGCGAGATGGCTGAGTGATTAGAGCGTGGATTTACTGACCAGAAGGTCCGTGGTTCCAACCCGACCCCTGCCTATGCTTGGGCAACCTGGCAGTATCGCAGTCCTCATGCTTCCTTCTGGCGGTCTGGTAGCCAGGCACCGAAAGGGCGTTATAGCTGAATGATTTATTTTTATATATTCATGGTCAGTCCGGATACATTTGAATCATCGATTGTGAGTCGATACTCACCCAACAGATTACAGTTATGCTCTGCGGAACGTAGGTTTGCTGCTCAATGAGGCTCTTTTAACGGACAACCTCACTTGGAATTCATTGAGCATACGTTTTTCGTGCACTTACCTGCGTCTTGAGGAATGCAACTATAATGTGATGCTGCAAGCGTTACCAATAAAACACCGAATACAAAGGAGCTTGCATGGGATAAACATACCTACTCATTTACCCGTCCTAGCTCATAGCTTTCCAACTAATTTATGCAATCGTTCACCCTTCCATTGCGTGACGCGCTGTCATCAACTATCGCCCATGTGCAATACCTACCCCTCCCTATGGCCACTGGTTTTCTTAGCCACGAATTCCCGTAACCTGTTGCGATATGAACTCTAAGTGGCGATGTTAAAAGTTACCCCGATGCATAGGCTTTCTTTCATTTGTTGACAACAGATTGACTATTATGCGCGGAGTGATTGTTGTTGCATTGACTGGTGTTGTTCCTATCGTTCGATGAACTTGGGGTTATCCTATAGGTTTGGCAGTCTGCATTATATGCTAGGACACCTGCGATGGGTTTCTGATCTCTATGTCCACTCCATTGCCATAGCAAACTCGTCAATATTGATTGACGAGTTAATCGTATATCATGCCGGATGTGACATTGTAGTTCTCGAATTCGGTGCATACCTGGAGTCTTTAAATAAAAAAAACTAACGCTGCTTGTCTGTGTTCCGTCAAATGGTATTGATTCTCGAATCGTTCGAAACACTGAAAAGAACCAGTTGTATTCAAATATCCACAAATTCCGCGTATTTTCACTTTCCAGCCCTTGAGGACGAATTGGCAAAAGTGGCTGGGAAATTCTGCCTTGGAGACGAGCTCTCGATGGCTGATATTTTTTTGGTACCACAAGTTGTGAATGCACATCGGTTAGTTTTTTGTTTGTTTGACATGGTTCTGTGATTCACACGATCAGTTGATTGACACGTAGTTGCCTGTTTCGGATTGTCGTCATGTAGGATTATTTTTGCATGTAGATTACTCATTCCTTTAAAAGAGGTATTGTGATCTATTCCTACAATCCCAGAGCCTACAAAGGGGGTACCATTGCTCTGCTGTTTAGATCATCTCCCCATACCATCCAACTGTACAGAGTAGAATGTCGGTACAGTCAGTGAGTTTCTGACCACATAATGAACACCGCTACCAAGTGAGTGTTACTCACTGAGATGCCGGCGTCATCCGTGAAATCAGCATTGTACGCTGTGTCAATACTTCCTGGAGAGGGTTGCCCCTGACACACCGATGTCGTGGTAATCATGCGATGTTTCGTTAACATCAGGATTACCAGTGATGATTGCTGATAATATTTATTAGTAAGTATTGTATACGTTGTTCAAGTGTACCAGTATGAGTGCATACCGTGAACCAGGAGGTATTATTTATCAAACTTGGTTATCATCTTGGCGTAGCCTTATTCACACAATCCATCACAGTATATAAATTGTGGTACATGAATTTATTTCTTCCGGGGGTCGCTTTGCCACTGAAGGTCATAATACCGTGCCTTCGGATACATTCATACTATCACAAAGTGTGAACATTGAACGGATGGTGCGCTCCGCCGTAAAAAATCGTCCAGCTGTAGCACCGTTTCGGTCGCTAACTGCTATGCCACCAGAAGGATACATGAGGGCCGGGTTGCCCAAATGTGGGCAGGGGAAGTCGACAGGCGTAGGTCGGGTTCCGGTCAGCATATTCGCGCTCTAATCACTGAGCCATCTCGCCCACCGTAACGAAACCGACGTGCGGAACGGGGTGCTTCCGCTGCTGTTAAGGTACTGTGCCTCGGTAAGCTACCTTCCACTTTGTGAATTGTTCAAGTTCCTTAGAAATGGGTCCAGATTCAATACCGAAAACCCGTCGACTTTGTAATCCGCCAGAATCCCGTCCAGTTCTATGCACTTATCTTCTGTTGAAAGCTCTAGACGGACTACTGACTGGTGTTGTGAATTTTTCATCGAGAGCCCCAAGTGATGTACAAGACTCGTGTATCTACAATGGATGCAGCAGTCTGTCTCCATCGCACAGTTTTGAAGGCTTTAGCTTTCAGAACGAAGTGCTTCCATTCCTACAACATGGACTTAGTAGTTTCTTCGTTCCCGCTGCATAAACTTTCTCGGATGAGCATACGAGGAACCTCCCTGTCCCTGTCCCTTCGACCGAAATTAGTAAGTTCATATTGGTGGAAGGTCATCGAAGATTCACGAAGGAACTTCATTGTCACTGTTTCTATCGAGCTATTCTGGTCCTCGTAACCAGCTAGCAGCTAGTTTTGTTTATCAAAATCCCCACAGTTTCAGGTTAGCATTGCCGTGCAAGTCCACATGGACCCGTGGATCGTAGTTCTTGGGTGAATAAACAAACCGGGACGGTTTACATATGTTTATTACTAACAAACTTGTACTGTTATAAAAACGTTGTGCATTCAACCCTGCTAGTTTTTTTAGCCAGGTTGGCCTTGATGAAATCGTTATTAATTGCACGTCGTCTCATTATGACGGAATCTGGACAACTGCATGGTGTGTCCACCCTGGGGGCTATGCCGACTGGAATATTTTTGTTGCTTTAACCTTGTTAGAAAAACCAACTGCGGGCAACCAGATTAAAAGCCGCAATCCCTTATATTATGGTGCGGTCTAGCGGAAAAACCGTATTGTCAGGTGCGGCAGTGGTTTTAGGGCAGTAGTTTGTTTCCTTCAGGCACTCGGCATTTCCATATTTATGGAGACATAGTGGCGAGATGGCCGAAGTCGTTAGAGCGCGAATTTACTGACCGGAAGGTCCGTGGTTCGGACCCGACCTCTGCCTCTGGACACCCCCTGTCTAGGCTTGGGCAACCTGACAACCTTTGGGTGGCATGGTATTTAGGCACCGAAAGGTTACTACAGCTGAACGATTCTTTTACGATGGAGATAGCGATGCTACCAAGGAAGAGTAGGTTGGAAAAGTCAGCTCTGTAAATCGTACACTCCGGGCGTGCAGCAGTTGGCCGCGACTGACGGTGAGTCATCCTATACGGTTGAAGTACTATTAAAAAGTAAACGTTTGGTACCACCTGATGTTATCAGTAGCACTTAAGAGCAAGGTGCGCACGTCCCACCCTCTACTTCCCCGAACTAGACCAGTCCTCCACACCAAACTGGGTCGGACTGCAAGGTCGTAGGCTTCTCTAGAAGGTGCTCTGGAGAAAACCTTATCGCTCACCGTTTTGTTGGTAAGATCTGGAAGTTGAAAGCTTGAGTTGGGTTAGTAAGACCCCACTCAGACCCATATCCCGGACGTTTGGAAAAGGACTGGACTTCAAAACTCGGTCGGATACGAAGACATATTGTGCATATAAAAATATCACTGAAGAAATTAAGCTTCGAACCTGGTGCATTATAATCCTACTGGATAAGGCTGATGATGATAGGTCTGAACGGCGAACAACACTTGTTTCCAAAGAACTCAAGCGCTATGGTATCGACATTGAAGCATTGAATAAGACAAGTTTGACAGAATAAAGCAGGACATGGAACTGGATACACTCTTCTGGACGGGACTTTCAAAAAACCGTCGACAGGAAGACGGAGTTAGGTTTGCAATATCTGGAAACTTGTTTTCAGCAATCTTTGATGAGCCAAACTGTATCAATTCAACATTAATGCCAAATCAAATTCGATTGGCAAGATGGCGTTTTACTACATTTGTGAGCGTCCTTGCACCCACAAGTTCTCATTATGAAGTGCAAAAATGGGTTTTGCACTCAGCTGTCGAGCGTTATTCAACCGATACCAGCCATCTTTTCCTCTCAGCGATTGAGTTGATCAAGACTCGGAAACCTTGAAGAAAATGATGGGATTCTTTAAAATTCGATCGACGAATAATTTTTAGTGGGAAAGTGTGTTAACCCAGTTTTTTCACCTCGGTGGTTCCCTCACCTTCGACCAAATGATCGACAAAGAGTTGGACTTGCGAAAATCGGAGGGTAGCGTCGATTTCGGTAGAGGTCAAGAACATGAAAATCTCGACCAGTCATGCTATCTCAGCGAGCTACCGAGAATATACCGGAATATCAATTGGTTTCATCTGCTATATCTGCAGAGAAGTATAAGCATACATTAGTCAGATCGAGCTCCGAATACTCAAATTCCTCGGTAGGCGACAGTTTGCGTAATCCAGGGCACCTTAATCCACAACCAATTGCGCTAACCAGACCACGCGGAATGAATGGGATTGGATCGGATATCCAAACAATTGTTGCAATACCGACAGTTGAAGAATGCTCTTCGAGACCGAGGAAAGCGTAAACTGCGGTGCGGAAGCGGAATTGAGGCGATTTGAAAAAAAAGTTTTTTGACCTTACATCATGACGAAATCTGGTGGTGGACAAACACAGCTGGCAAATGTCTTACTCGTAGACACTGAGACGTAAATTTTCTATTCGAAAGTGATGAGTGTGCCAACACCATCATCGGGTGGCGCTACCTTTGCATGGTAGTTTGTTTGTTCTTTGAGCCGGACATTTCGGTTGCAAGCGTTTCATCAACAATCGAGGTGACAGTGCAGTGGAGTGGAACGTATCGATGGGTCAGCGGCTGTACATTAAGTAGTCGGGCGTGTGTTAATGTGCGTGGTGCTAGTCCGGGGGCTAGCCTTCGAACATGCTAGGTTGTCCAGTTAGGCGGTTCCATTGCTCGGTCTGCTCGGTCGGTGACTACCTGACCTTCGAGTTTGGCGTTCCCCGCTTTCATTCTCTGATCCGTGTTGAAGCGAGTTCTCTATCTAACCTTGGTCGATCTGATTCCAAGTTTGTTTCTTGGTTCGATAATCCGATATTCGACCCTCTGGGGATTCCGGTTGAAATATCAGTTCTCTGCACATGATGGTGCCTATAGTACAGTGATAAAGTCATCGAACAGACCGATTTACTGCAGTTCTGGTACCAACACGCCAAAGCAGTTGCTTCAGGTGCGTTTCTCAAGGCAACCAAACACAGCATTGACCTTTGCCATCTGCGCTTTCGATTCGCTATTTGTTACCAAGCTTGTTGACAAGGTGCTGTCTAGGTAACCGGAATCAATATAATGGGGTGCATTACAACCAATCACTTGAATGCCCGCTGTTTTCTGCTCTGACTGCGTTGCATGCTAACACAAGATGAGTAGAAAGGTTTATGACCGGCGAAAGTAGGGGGCGAATGATGCCGAGGTCGTCGTTAGGGCGAGATGTTTATGTAGCCGAAGCCTTTGGCTGAACATCCGGACATGTGGTTGTTAGACTTGGAGACATCCTCTTATCAGATGTCTGATAACGAAGCTCCATAGCTGAATGCTACTTTTGTTTGTATTATTTTTGGCCTACTTGAATCGATATCCTCGGATGCCAACATACACAGTGCTATATTTTGAATTCCTAGGTTCCACATAGACATGTCGCAATATCCACTGATCGAACGGATTTCCAGTTCTCTCAGGGAGCTTGATGAGTTTCGAAGGACGGCACCTGAAGTGCAACCGGATGCACCACAACGAGGCTCTCGTACGGGAAATTTATAGGAACACTTTCAACTGCATCCTGGGGAAGGCCTTATTACAACTTTACAACCTGTTCGATTTCGTGAACGATTTGGCTATTCTTTCACCTTTCTCTATGATTTTCGTTTCTTATGCAATGTATTGTTACCCGTGTGGATTGTAAGTCATAATGATCGTAAAAAATCCCGCTGCTCTTATTATTCACGACGGTTGGCTGCCACGACAGATTGAGTTGGTTTCTGTGCACGCCTTGAGATTCCATGAAAAAGTCACTTTGTACCGAAAGACGGAGAATCATCTTTATCACAAATAACTGGCGGTGCGCGCTTTTGAGATTATGACCCACAAACTTCCGTGTAGCAGCTGTCCCAACCATGAACGTCCAGTCAGCAGTTTGATTGGCCTACACTTTGAGAAGCTCTAAGTAGTAGGTTTTGTCATCTCGTCCTTAGTAGTATTATCATCCCAAATGATTGATTAAACTTGAATCATCCGCGGCATAACTTGGAGTTCAGGCTTCCGTTTTGTCCACCTGGTCTTTGGAGATGTCCGTTCAGGTAAACTCAGTTTTCCTACTGAATACTCAGCAAAATGGTATCACGAGATTGCAAAAGGAGTCTGCAATCAGAGCTATGCGCTCAGCCGGCGCACGTCAAGAACAAGACGGAAGTGTGAGAGCTTCGCTGTTGGTCTGCGACGTTCAGCGTGTCTGGACCGTCAAGCGCCCATTTGGGCGGTAGAAACTGATAGAAACGTATGTTGTATCTTTTTCAACCAAGCAAATGAGCAATGTGGACTACATTATAGGCACACAACAAACAAACTTCATTTCTACTCAGTGGTGCTTAACTTAGCTGGGAGTTGTCATAGGGAAGTGCTGTTCTCAGTTGAGAGACGATACAATCCGGTCAACATAGATTTCCGCACTGGGTGCAATGTACGAGGACTGTGACGACTGACTCATCAGTCGCCCGCTCTCTGCTCTTCTCACTTTGCTGAAAGGCCGTGCAAAGTGTGGTTCTGTCACCGAAGACCCAATGACGCCCAAGGCCTTCCGTTCACAAAGATAATCACGATGATCTGCGTCTTAGCCATACTAATGGCCACAAACATGTAAATCAATGGCATTCGGAAATGTTTATCCTGTCGAGAGAGTTTTTACATTTACAGAATACTCTTCATCCGTCTGGACCCAGTGTACAGAGACAGACCATCTACTGTGAAAAGCAAAATCCACTTCTTCGCCTTGGTCTCTCTTGGGTAAGGATTGGGTGTTCTTTAGAGGGAACTGCAAACGGATTAAGTTGGCTGATCAACTGTCTTGATGTTCCCAAGGTAAATCATGTATTCAGCTAACCGATCGGTGTCCACCGAAACTTCGAGGTTCATATTCTCCAGCTTATCTACATCCGACTGTCCGCCTTATTAGCTGGCTGGGTTCCACTTGCATCAGGTGCCCATAGTTGAAGGCCATTCTACCAGAAGGTTGCGCCAGATGTTTCCGGCGAATGCAATCAGCTGATTGGCTGCATTGGTGTGTCGGATACCAGGCAGGAGCGGCAATGCACGCACCAAACGACAACTGACACATTTACTTCAAAGTAGTCTCTCGGATAGACGACTGAAGGGATGGTTATGTACCCTATCAGAAGGATTTGTGGGTGACAGAGAATAGCGTGCGTGATGGTACGCCCGTACACGCTATCTAGCAGACACCAATCGTTAAGGCTGATGTCTTGTCAGATATCTTGAACAGAAGGCCTGAAAACTTGCATATGTCATTGTAGAGCATCTCATTTGTACAATGGTTGTGCATCTGCTTAGGCCCAAGAAATGAATCTTCACCTTTCAGCAAATCTGCTCTGATTCTATTCTGTTTTTCGGAAGCAAGCATGGGCACAGTTTCAACGTACTCTTATGGGTGGCTGTCTTAACCTGTCCTGTTGGTGATCGCGGTCAATAAAAAAGTCCAGCTAATCTCACAGAAACATGGACGGAAGATGATTGAAACGGTGGTCGGAAAAATGTGCGGAACCGAAGAAGAAACGTATACAAGACAAAGTCATTACACCAAAATGGGCAGTTTTGTGCATGGAGCCGTCAGAATCTATCTGCTCCAGGAAAAAACAAAGTTCTTGTGGACGATGTGAGCATTTGGTCTGAACATTTAACTGTGTGTATTTTTTGACCGGTATTTTGACTGGTTTGCAGCTGTTTTGAGTGTTGCTCAGTATTCGCACAATGAAATTGAATTTTAGAAAGCTATGACGTGTCCCTGATGAGCTGAAGCAACCGGGCAACTGATTCCAGAATACCAGTCCAAACTTTTGAGCCTCATTTAGGCATCCCGGGGTCTCAGAGATGCTGGGAAGTTATCCCACAAGACTGAGGTATGATTGCATCAGTGGAAAGTGAAATTTGGTGAGCTGCAAAATATGAATGTAGACAAGGATGGCTTTTGGTTTGAGCACCGACGTAACAAAATGCAACATTTTGGCGCAAGAAGTTTGCAGCTGATAGCATTGTGCTTATAACGCGCACCGTTTTGAGTAGGGCAAGTAACAAAATGTTTTGGCGCAAGAAGTTTGCAGCTGATAGCATTGTGCTTATAACGCGCACCGTTTTGAGTAGGGCAAGCGCTATTTCTTGAGAACGCTCAGTACAGATAGAGTGCTCGAGTTCTGACCTAACCCTCAAGTTTAGACAATGGTTGATTTCAATGACTACAACTGACAGTTGTTGCTTGATTCTAATACTTGGTCAAGCAACCCCACAAAGCCGTGCCTAACCCGCCAAGAAACGCGACTATCTGCAACTAGACAACTGGACAGGCTCACTTTTCTTGATCTATGCAGGGGATCCGATAAACATCGAACCTCTAGATGATGCCCATCACAACGAATGTCCCAGCGAGCGGGTAGCTAAATCTTGATGGCCACCTCCGAAATGTATGAGGACAGGGCAGTAGATAATAATGTTTATCGGAAGGGACAATATTCTTTTTAAAAAAGGTTGGGGATAGAGTCGGAGTAAGTTATGGACCAGGTGAGGTTGCGAGTAAACTTGGCCACTATACAATCTAGTTGAATTGATCCGCTGGTTCTTATTATATATTCTGTCCAAAGTTTTGTCCCGTACTGGAAGGTGAAACATAGAAAGGATATGATAAAACTAACACGGTTGTGCCCAGCGTTGCTACTAAAACACAAGTTCTCTGGGTAAATAGCTAACTGGGTTCGGTCAGTACTATCATGCACACTCCAATCATAAACCATTGACGACGATGGTGTGACTTCAATTCTAGTGGATGCATTTTGTTAACATTAAACTCACTGAATTTCACATACCAATCAAATGTGAACCTGTCAGGCAAAGGCACAGTGTGAATCAATGGTGGAGTAGCGAATATACAATCATTTGCAAACTAATTTGGTTCTTCGAGAGACTCCTCTGGAACCCAGCTGAACCTCTCGTTTGTGATGTTTCCAGGCAACTGAATGTGCTGCACCAGGTCGACTCATGTTTCAGTCGCTACGATATTCGAGATATCGCGATACATGTTAATATTTGTGATGTTCTACTCATAAGGTTGCTGAAAATCCGTCCATTCTTGGGGCTTATCAGGTAGGCGCATTCCCTGAGTTTCCGTCAGCCTTGTGATCTACTTGAACCCAGATTGCACGAAATTAGCGAAATGTTATCATTGTAAACAAGTTTTGTTTTGCGACAGGCTTACCTGGAACCCAGCTGAATCATAAACTAGAGATTCAGCAAGGTTCCAGGTGAGTCTTTCGCAATACCGAATTCGATTACAAATGAGTGTATTCCGCTAAAAAATTCTGCAAAATACATGATAACCGTTGTGAACTGGGAAATTTGAGTCGTTCTAAACAATCGATGCTTTCCCTTTTTCACAGTCGTATTATACCGTCCTCGGATTATCTTGCGGACGTTCAAGTTCAACATGAATTGAATTCAGTTTTAAGGTATTCCAGTGTGCAGATGTGCAGTTAAGTTGTCCTTTGGTTTGCGCGCAACATGGCGTGCGATGGTTCAGAGTAGCTCGCCTAGTTATTGTTATGCTAAGGGACGAAGTTTCTACTGACACTTCAATCAATAGCAACTCCACTCGTCAGTTTTACGTTACTGCGCATATGTAGCAGACTGGCACAATGCCAGGGCTTACTGTCGGTTGTAATCAGAGCTCTGGTGTAAACGGGGACGGACAGCCCAGAAACGCTTGCCAGTCTTTGCGTCATGGCGAAGGTAGTAGACAAAAACAGTCTCTGGTTCGGATTTGTGGCCCAAACAGTGAAGTAACAAGTGTACATAACAAGCCTAATGCTCATGACACTTACATGTGTAAGGGTAGACAGAAGTTGTCGCTGATATCCACGATCTTGATGGCATTCATTGCTCCTGGTCTTCACAAACATCGCCTATGGGACTTGATTCCACCTGGGCCAATTTTAAATGCACCAGTTTATCATAAAGAAGCATTGCAAAACCGGGATCTGATCCATCCCGAACAATCTTCTGCCTAACTTCCGTCGGTTTTTTATCCGCCGCAGTTGACAGAAGCTGTGCTTTTGATTTTGATAGAGATGTGGAGGTTTGCTGCGGTGCCATTTGGAGCAGGGATATACACGGTTCGAGTGTCGTGGGCTGGGGACAGGGAAAATCTTCACCAGTCATGGAAATTCGCATGGATGTAATCAAAGAAAAGCCAGAGATTCCACCGAGGTACTGAATACAATCAAGACGCCATCAAAGCAACCACTAAACAGGGTAACACTAGAAGACATACGAATGGAATCGAAGTTGGTAAACAGCCAATTATGAGTAGATTGCACTTAACACCCAAGTGTAAACGTGTCCAGGCGCGTCCAGCACGAATGCGCTGAATAGCAGTAGGAGCCAGCGCGTCGTAGGTCAGGCGACCGGAGCTCAAATCCTGCTAAAGGTAGGCATTAATGATGCCATTAAACGTGAATGAACCTCGTGCCGCAGTTGACAGAAGCTGTGCTTTTGATTTTGATTGATAGAGAGAGGTTTGCTGCGGTGCCATTTGGAGCAGGGATATACACGGTTCGAGTGTCGTGGGCTGGGGACAGGGAAAATCTTCACCAGTCATGGAAATTCGCATGGATGTAATCAAAGAAAAGCCAGAGATTCCACCGAGGTACTGAATACAATCAAGACGCCATCAAAGCAACCACTAAACAGGATAACACTAGAAGACATACGAATGGAATCGAAGTTGGTAAACAGCCAATTATGAGTAGATTGCACTTAACACCCAAGTGTAAACGTGTCCAGGCGCGTCCAGCACGAATGCGCTGAATAGCAGTAGGAGCCAGCGCGTCGTAGGTCAGGCGACCGGAGCTCAAATCCTGCTAAAGGTAGGCATTAATGATGCCATTAAACGTGAATGAACCTCGTGTCTGCCAGCTCCCCTCCGAAACGAGTCACCAAGAGCAGTCAAGTCAGGATGGCAGTAGGTCCGTTCGCCGCGACTAGCTCGTACCTACTTGGTAGGGTTCCTCGCTAGCAAGAAGGCGGTATAAAACAAGTGATACCTATTGAAATGTAACCGCAGAAACTAAACCACTTAAGTCAAATAGATCCACCAATTACTAGAACTGCTATTAAGACTATAGCTTGTTCTGATGTAGACACCAAACCTCCAACAATCACACTGGCAAAGAAGAGGGTTCTGGATTACCTGCATGCCATCCGTCTTTCTAAATTGGGACGAAACATGTGCCAAGCATGAAACTCCTGTGACTAAAGAGAAGTACCGGAGGGAAAAGCCAACACTTCTTGAACACGATAAGTTGACTGATTGTTGATAGTTCATTCGAGAGCTCTTGATGTCACCTTGTCAGTCTACCTACTCCATGAGGGCACGAGATGGATCAGTGGTTAGAGAGCGAATTTACTGACCGGAAGGTCCGTGATTCGAACCCGACCTCTGCCTCTCGATTTCCCGTGTCTAGGCTTGAGTAACCTGGCAGTATCCCAGCCCTCGTTATTCCTTCAGGTGGCATGGCAGTTAGGTATTGGAAG